ATAATAAACAATATTCTGTAGTGATTTTGTTTAAATAAATCTCAGACTGCAGAGGTTAAAGTAAACAGGCCTGTTCTGTCACTAATTTTAAATAGATTATAATCAATTTACTTAATTTTCATRTAAAAACTGGGACTCTGTTGGTTATAAATTAAACATAAGCGGCCCTGTGAGAGACTGGACTTTGACTTTAAAACGAAAATATCATAAGGCGGGCTTTATCTACGCCTTTTTTTAGACATTTGAGAATTAAAAGCACGAGTCAAAGATGAAAACTAACCTGCTGTCTGATCTCTGAGCGCAGCGCGCGCATCCTCCGGCCTCCAGGTGCTCCCACAAAACAGGTGAGACTAAAAACCCTCCGCGTGGATCCGATGGATAAATCCCACTCCTTCTGGGCTGTGGAGGAGAGGAGCTATGTTTGTATCCGTGGTCGGGAGGAGCAAGAGGAGGAGGAGGAGGAGGAGGCTCCTGGGTCCGACTCCTGATGCGGGACGCGTCGAGTCCAGCGCGCCTCCGGTCCTGAGGCTGACATGTGGCCCTCTTGACTGTCAGACAGTCTGGGCTCTCCCCTCACCTCATCGATGCCTTCCCATCACCTCCTGAACGCTTCTTCCCATCTCTGGTGACGTCACATGGACGGTAAATCTCTGACAACCAATCAGAATCCAGCTCTGCTGCGCGTCTGAGCCCCCACATGTGTGAGGTCTGTGCGTGAGGTGGAGCAGCCTCAACAGGAACTTYATTTAAAGTGAACACGTAAAAAGACAATTACATTAATAAAAAAAAGCAAGCCACGTCAAAGAAAATCTTTGTCTGATTTATTTTTTTGATAATGTAGCAAAACATCAGGTTTATTTGACACTATTTCCGCTTTTGAAGAGGTGAGATTTATTGCAGTTTTCTTCAGTTTAAACMGTGTTTTGAAAGATGCTCACATGTTCATCAAACTGCAACTAAATGACTTTGACTTGATGGATAATCAACTTTATGATCATTAAATGCACATTTACGGATTACTGCACTTTAGCGCCACCCAGCGTAACTAAGTGGTATTAAACCTGACTTCATTTAGGCCACGTGCACTGTCCTTCAGTTTGCATGAGTTATATGCATTTAGCACACATGACGTTAAAGAAACAGGCAGCATGGCTCAGTACAGCTGTTGMCTCTCAGCAAGATGTTCACCAGATCAAATCCTGGCCTGTTTGCATGTTCTCTGCATGCATGTGTGGGTTTTCTCCACTTTAYGAGCTGTTTAAGCACAAATAAAGGACCATTGCCAAAAAAATTCAGTGCAGCAAATTCAGGACACTCAGATGTCCAGCAGAACCACTGAACGACCAGAAACCTGTGGAAAACCCAACCAGGTTTCATGGGAGAATTACAATGAAAAAGCCAAACCTTTGATGTGAAAACAAGGCCAGGTGTTTCAGCTTTGCACAATAAATAAATAAATAAATCAGATCTGTGAACAGAAAAATATCCCTCAGGACCAAAAGGTGAATATCYGAAGTATTTGTAACAGAAGGCAACAGAAGTGAAGCAAGATGGAGGCTCCTATAAGTTTAAGGACAAATAAAGATTTGGTTAGATTTGTTGGCATCTTAAAAAACAGGAGATGATTGGTCCCAAATTTATTCTGCAGCAGGATGACCCAGAAACAGTTTAAACGCAGGATCACTGGCAGCATKKTGCCAGGAAGGACCTGGGTTTGAYCCCCAGTTCAGACCCAGGGTCTTTCTGTGGGGAGTTCGCATGTTGTCCTCATGCCTGTGTGGGTTTTCTCCCAGTCTAAAAACATGCCTGTTAGGTTGCCTCTCAGTGGGATCTAATCTGTGATTTGCCTGGTAAAATAATCTTAAAAATCACCATCATTAAAAGTAAAAACTGTAGTCATATACAAGTAAAAAACATTTTAATAAAACATATTAAAAGTTTTCATGATTAAACCATGAAAATGACATTTTTTACATTAAGTACGCACATTTAACATCTGCATAATTTTATTTGAATTAAAAGTGCTTCGTGGTAAAATCAGTGGATTTTTATAAAAATAAAAAAGAAGTCCAAAAACTGAAATGAAAAACTAAATATTGAAATATTTGGCAAAGTCACTCAGGAGAAACAAGGGTGAACTTCAGACAGGATTCTTTCGAACGTCTATCAACGTGTTTGAGGTCAGAGGKCCCACGTTGAGGCTGGAGCGACGAGACTCTCGGCGAGATTTCACCACAGGAAGCGGTGTGGGTCCGCCCCAGTACCCCGCACYGGTCTGAACCACTCGGTTAGCTGGAAAATCTCCAGCAGCCACCTGAAGCCACAGCTCCTCCATGGCTGCGGGTTCCTCTGTGGGAAGAGAAGAGCGCCTCCATGTGGAGGGGAGTGGGGTGTTCACMAGTCCTCTCATTTCCTCCCTGGTCCTGGTGGGTTTGTCCAGATGACCTGTCCCTCTGCCGGCTGGACCATCCTCAGGACAAYGGCTCAGCTTCTCTACGCTACCAGCATTTTTCACATCAGATGGAAAGACTGAAAGACAGAAAACGAGCAAAAAAAAAAATCAGCCTCTCTAACAGTGTGGGCTAAAGAAAAGTGACAAACTTTTAACAGGTATGTAAACTACAGCCACAAGCTTCTAAAGAGCATTTGTTGCTTAAAACATCCATTTATGATGGATTGTTTTGTAATCAAYCCKATAATCACTGTAACACATGGGTTGCAGCCCACCTGGACAGTAGGCCGTCCATGTAGGCTGTACAAAACAGCTGTGACCACACACGTTACCATGRTTTTATATCACCCACCTTCATGTTTTCACACATCTTTTCAAGAGAGATATAACTTCATTCATCAAATTATTTACGTTACAAGTAGGACTGCGGGGTTTATGCGGTAGACGGTAGAAACGTACGTCATCACACCTGTGTCAGCATGGCTGCGAGTGCAGAGACAACTGAGCAGCAGTTCGAAATATAATGAAGAAATGCTAGCATTT